GCTACTAGTAACACGTGCATCGCTACTAGGAACAAGTGCATCGCTACTAACCAAAAGTGCATCCCTACTAGGAGCAAGTGCATCGCTACTAGTAACAACTTTATCCCTACTGGGAACAAGTGCATCGCTACTAGTAGAAAGTGCATTGCTACTAGGAACAAGTGCATAGCTACTAGGAACAAGTGCATCGCTACTAGCAACAAGTGCATCGCTACTAGGAAAAAGTGCATCGCTACTAGTAGAAAGTTACTAGCAACAAGTGCATCGCTACTAGGAACAAGTGAATTGCTACTAGGACTAGGAACAAGTTCAACCCTACTAGGAACAAGTGCATCCCTACTGGGAACAAGTGCATCCCTACTAGGAACAAGTGCATCGCTACTTAAACAAGTGCATCGCTACTAGTAACAACTGCATCCCTACTAGGAACAAGTGCATCGCTAGTAGAAAGTGCATTGCTACTAGCAACAAGTGCATTCCTACTGGTAGAAAGTGCATTTGTAACAACAGGCTACTATACTAGTAGCGATGCACTTGTTACTAGCACCAGGGATACGATGAACCAAAAGGGTTTTTGAAAGTGACGGCGCTCTCATGGGCCTGTTTCTTCAGACACTGTTCGAACCCTCACCTGATCAGAAAGACCACATCTACCCGGAATGGTGACCACATCTAGTAGCTTCTTGTTACTACTAGTAAGGCACCTGTTACTACTAGCGTGGCACTTGTTCCTAGTAGCGAACCTAGTTACTACTACCCGGAATGGTCTTCGGATTTCCGAAGGACGCGCGGTAGACTCTTGACACCCAAAGACGCGGTGCGGTCCGTCGGCGTGGGTTTCGGTTCACCGAAAGCTCGAGTGGAACTTCTTTAGGTGCGAGATGGTGCGGGTTCAGACAGAAAGCGGATCATCGGATCGAGTGGGATCGAGTGGGAGAAAAAGAAAAGGCTGAGCCAATACGCCAGTAACATGTGACACGACAGCTCTTGTACTAGTAGAGACTGCTACTGGCATGGCCCGGCATGGGCCTGGTGGTCGTTTTGAGGGTGTGAACCGCAAACCGCCTGGGGTTCACCGACCCTGTTTGGCTTCGAAACGCCAAAATAGGGGGCGGGTTGAAGTGATTTGATTGGTCATACTCCACTTGGAACGGCTCTCAATGCTGCAGAAGGTGCCCCGGACCAGACCGCTGGGGCTAGCACTCGCACGCTCTCGGAGCTCTGCTCTCCGAGCTCTGCTCTCCACCCGTCTGCCTGCTGCCATGAGGAGGGCGCTCATGGAGGTGAACTGAGCACCACCGCAAACCACCTCGGGCGTCCGGCAAGTCGGTGAGGCACGTCCGCTGGAGGGGGAAAGAACATCGGGTCCGGTGTGCTTTTTCTGCACTCTCGTGTGCGTTCTGGTGGAAGAAAAACGTCCAAAGCAAGAAAACTCCCGAGTGGCCAGGTGCAGGAACCGGGGCGATCGAACCCCGACAAAGGGTCCTGTCGTTCGTCAGCTTCATCGAACGATTTGTTTCTCAGAATTCAAGCGATCCAATTCGTGTCTGTTTCTGGACTGGACCAATCCCGAAAGGGTAGGGCGCCAGCAAAACGAAGGTTAAAGAAGACGCCAACGTTCCAAACTTGGGATCCAAATTTAGAATCCACCACGCCATTGTTTTTGGTCAAATCATGTTGTGGTTCCTAAATGCAGTCTAAAACCACCGCAAAAAAGTCTTGACTTGTTGAAACGAGAGGTGCAGTGCAAGGCACAAAAAAAACAAAAAAAAAACGGTTTCACCACAAACGTCCATCATCTCCACCATCTCCACCGTCCAAACCCGGAGGATCCTTTGGGCGCCGGCATCGCAGGACGGCACCGTGTAGTGCGCGTGATCGCCTTGGGAAGCAAAAGCACCTCTAGTGGCGTCCTTGCTCCGTTCGTAGCGATGCCAGGAGCCCCGAACGTAGCTTCTTGTGCCGTTCGTAGCGATGCCCTTTGCTCCTAGCTTCTTGCTCCTAGTAAGGCCAGGAGCCCCTAGTAGCATCAAGAGTTTCATGGATTTCCACCAACTCCAGAGGAATCTTCCGACCTCATCCCGACATCTGAGTCCGGTGGCACATGGGTTTCCACATGGGCAAGGCCTCGGGGGCCTCATGCGAGAGGCAGTACCTGCGATCGCCGATCGCCGGTGTTCGTTGGTTCGTTGGTTCGCCGAAGCAAACGTGATCAGTCTCAGGTCGGTCCTCGGTGTAAACCACCACTGACCTGGTGTGGCACCACCGATCGGTCTCAAGGTTTCAGCTCTCGAAGCTTCGGTCGGAAGCGAAGCGTTTTCATTCGTGACTAGAGAAACTGACTGGTGCTTAGCAGGGAATGAGGGAATGGATCCAATAGAGTCTCTACTGGGGGCTCATTCCCTTATTCCCTACTAAGCACCAGTCAGGAAAGGCTTTATTGTTGCGTTCGGTACGGGCCTCCAACCGTTCGGTACCGTTTCTTGTTACCAATGTCCACGTTGCGAAGGCCGGTCTGGCACCGGAACTGTTCCCAGACTGCCCCGTTGGCCGCGGTGGGGGGCGGCCAACGTTCGTAGCGTCCCTTGTTCCGTTCGTCAGGCCAGGGCTGCGCCCCGTTCGTAGCGATGCCCTTGTGATGTTCGTAGCTTCTTGCTACTAGTAGTAAGGCCAGGAGCGCCTAGTAGCGTCCTTGCTCCGTTCGTAGCGATGCCAGGAGCTCCGAACGTAGCTTCTTGCTCCTAGTAGGGTGACGTTGCGCCCTCGTTTTCCGTTTGGCTCACGAGACCAACTTCAAGGTGTCACAGGCCATCATCGCTTGGAGCGGGTGGACGTGCCGGTCCTCGAAGAGAACGGTGAGGGCGTTACGTCCGACAGACGAAGCTGTTTCAGAAGACAGCCCTGTACCAAGCTGGAGAAAAACCGGATTTGTGGTGGGCTTCGTGGTCTGGGGTGTCTTCCGTCTCAACAGTCAACAGCAAGGATGGACTTTTTGTCGAAACACATAACATATGGAGTGGACAACTGGACAACAAACCGGTCACGTTTCGTGGATTTAAGGCACAAAGTTGTGATTGACTCTGGTGGAGGAAGGACCTGCTCTTCGGATCACCCCAATGTGGAGGGATCTCCTTGAATCTGTCCATGTCCATCTGCAATCCCTGGAATCTGTGTCCGAGTCCTCAACTCAAATGTGATGGAAACGCGATGGATTTTCGGAGCCCTCCAAAAATGCGAAAGCTGCCCAAGCAAATAGTTAGAAGAAAATAAAAGGTGGTTGCTAAACTTTCCCAAAGCCCTGCGCATCCTGCATGTGTCCAGATCGGAGAACAAAGCCATCCGTGGCACTGCAGGTGTCCACGACGTACATGGCCGAGGCCATCTGGCGAAGAGTCTTTTGCGAGCTAGGAGAACTGGTGCCCATGCCATGCCCTAATAGCTACTAGTAGTAATGCCCTTAGCTACTAGTATCTTCTTGCTACTAGTAGAAATGGCCTCCAACCTACTAGCTTCTTGTTACTAGTAGCGAAAATCACCTTCCCTGAGAACCATCACTCATGCCCTGAACATGACTTGATCACCTTGACTTCCAAACAACTCAACCGCTGTCAGCATCATCAGGACCTTGTGCCATCACACATCACAAGACCAAAAAAAGACAACATGATCCAATGGTTGCCAGTTAGCATGGACCGTTCCAGTCTTTCAGTCCCCTGTCGACTCCCTCACTGGCGCACCATGAAACTGCTGGCGAACCGAGGGAAGGATACTGTGGATTACCATGGTATCCCAAATACCACCTGAGACTGGTCGTCATGGTCGGTACTCCAATACTTCATGGGACCATTCGACACTTCCCCAGCTAGCAGACCCGACCAGTAGAAAATCCCCAGAAGCAAACATCTCGGTTGAAAGCATCGACGGGAAGCTCCAAAGTTTGCCCCAGCTTCATCGTTTTGCTTCATCTTTTTGCTCGTAACCACAGGTTTTCATGATTCATGCCGTCCAACTGCCTGGTACCAACTCGCAATGTTCCCATTCTGAACCTTGGCCCGACTCGCCCCGCCCAACTCTCTCAAAGCTCGTTCTCATCGCTTCTCGGTTCCCACGGGGAGCCGATGATCTGGAGGTCCGAAGAAATCGCGCCAAGACATTGCCATGGGGGTTTTCATCCAACGAATTTTCTTCGGTGATGGTGATCTTTCTTAGCCGCGGTGAGCCTTTCTCAGCCGCGGTGGTCATCCCCTTGACCGACTGTTGAACACATGGGCGACACCGAATCATCACAGCTGGACTCCGCGGCGAATCCTGCACTCTGCACCGTTGGCTTGTTTCGATTGATCGCCGACAAATGAGAATCTTCAACTCCCGAGAGAGGCCAACCAGCCGTACTTGGAAACCACCCAAGATGTTGGAAGAACTTATGGCTCAAACAGTTCGACATGAAACAAACATATCTTTTCAGGGGATCCCAATTGGCTGCCTCTTTTGGGGTTCTTGTTACTGCAAGCCCCAGCGGGTGTCAAACCGGCGCTCCCGGCACAAAGGCAGAAGTTGTTCTGCCAACCATCCTTCTTTCGCGGCACCACCTTGGTAGCGGATCACAGCCCGACCGCCTCCATCGCGCGAGGCGGGCGCGGCGGGTCTGAGCTATGGCACCTAAGAGGTCATGGTGAAGCCTTTTGCTTCGGAGCAGAGCCCTCCCGGCACCAACCACTTAGAGTTGGAAACCAGGTGAAATCCGGACAGCTGGGAGACCCTCGGCGGAGCCCAGGGGAGAAGAAGGATCGACGTGGGCGGACCTACCTTGCAGAAGGCGCGGTAGGAAAGCTTGAGAAAGATCATGCGTCCAATATCTAAAGGTGCATGTGAATGTCAATGTGTGTGTTTCTTGTAATTCCCCACACACATCCATCTCTTCTCAGAAGGTTGCAATCATTACATCCATGCACATACTACTCATGTTTCTTGGTTTTCGGAGTGCCCCAACACGAACACGTGCGCTCCACACGTCCGCTCCACACGTCCCACGTTTGCGGTGTTGGGGGACGCAGAGCGCAGGAGGAAATCCATCAACCCACCGGGCTCTCGGGCTACTTCATCCTTCAGCCACTTGGAGACTGCCTTTGCCGGTCGAGAACGCCCGGCGCAGCTCCAGACGAAGAAAGATCACGCCATGGCAATCCTTTCCTGCGTCTTCTAAAAATGGGCAGAAATCGAAACCTATCGAAACCTATCTCGTGTTTGCTGAGCTTCTTCCTTTCAGGATTTGCAGTCCAATTCTCCCACAAGACAGGCGTCGTCGCAGACCTCCAAGCCAACACCGCCTTCCTTCCCGCATCCGGCGCCCCATCCGCCTGCGAGGCCACATCCATCGGCTCATCCGGCTTCGCGGGGTCGTACTCGTAGTCATCCACCACGGCCTCGTCGGTCTCTTTCGGTCCACGTCTCGATGTGCCGGTGTTCCGCGTTTGGGTCCGTGGAAGTCGATGGTGGGCATGGAACCTTTCAGCATTTGGGGCGCAGAACGGAGCAAACAAGAAGCTACGAACGGGGCTCCTCTCGCATCGCGGCACCGAACGGAGCACTTCTCGCAGCAAACAAAAGAAAACATCACCCAGCGCGAGGCCCGAGGGCCTGGGACGCGGCCAGGGAGCTGCAAAGCAGGAGGACCTGAGAGGTGAAGCCGTCGGCGAAGGCGACGCGGAAGGCGCGGCGCGTGACGCTGCGAGGACGGCAAAGGACGAGAGAATTCGCTTTCCGGTGAAGGTTTACCAAACCTACCAGCTTCCAATCCCACTTATTGTTTCTACTTATTGTTTCTACGTTCGCTTCTTGTTCCTAGTAGTAAGGCTCTTGCTCCTAGTAGCGATGCACTTGTTCCTAGTAGCTCATAATATACCCTATAGGGATCCAGTCGTACCGAACCTCAGAAGCTACTTGGACCCAGGACGGCACCTACATAACAGTGTCTCCGTCCTCACCTTCTGAGAAGGTGTTTGGATCCCTAGGGTTAGTAATTTTTATCGGTTCATCATGAAGTTCAGAGTATAGCTTACAGCTGCCTGCAGCTGGCTATATAGTTGCTTTGAAGTTTCTAGGAAAGCGGGGCTGATTTGGTCATTTTGCCAAGGTTGGCGATTGACTCAATCGCCAATGAAGAAGACCCAGAAGTTAGACCACTTTTGACCCCAAAATGCGTGGTTGCAACGGCCAACTGCTCTTCTTGTTTCACCCCGGTGCCTCCAGGCCAATGAAACGGATTGTTCTTCACGTCTTGGGTTTTGACGATTGACATGTCTGGAATCTATTTGACCAGTTTGACCCAATCTCACTTCTGATCTAGGGATACTAAAATATTCCATTTGCTTCAACACATCCTGAAAAGGGCAAAAAAACAAATTAGAAACATAAAGAGGATGTGGAATCTTTGTTTTTGGAATCAACACATCCTAATTGTTTTGTCGACAGGCCAGGAAGATACATGATTCTTTGTCATCCCCCAACGAACTAGGAACAAGTGCATCGCTACTAGTAACAAGTGCCTTACTAGTAGGAACAATGTTTGCTTTGGCCTATGAAGCCAAGTTGATCGATCCACCAACGACTGACAAACCCCCTTCGGGTCTTCAGACGGCCGTCTTGTACATGGCCTCACAAAGGCGGAAGAAAACGCGGCGAAGAGGCGAGTCTCCAACGTTCATCAAAACGTTTGAGTTCAAAACCGGACTGGGTGTGACAGTTTCCCCTTTTGGAAAGTTCGAAGATTCTCAGCTTGCCTTGTTTTTACAGACTAGGAACAAGAAACTACTAGGGGGGGCTCCTGGCTTTACTACTAGGAGCAAGGACGCTACGAACGGGTTGATCAGTTCCAAACAAGCACAGGCTCATAAGGCCCAACCCTACCGCCAGATCTCGTCCGCAAAAAAAAAAAAAAAAAACATCACCCAACTGGTACAGCAAGATTGGTCAAAGATAACCACCCCAATAACATTCGTTTCATCCAAAACACAACTGCATAATTTGGCATTTCTGGGCTGAACTTGTTTGGAAAATGGTGCCCGAATACGGCTCGGAACCCAAAACTGCACAGACCCCTGTTCTGCATGACCACTTTGATAAGGATTGGCACTGGTTCGTTCAAGCTTATTGGATGAGGTGGTTTGGGTACCACAGAAACCGCCCCACCGGCAGTCAACAAACAAATAAACTTGGGACGCCTCGACAGCTCAAAAGAGACAGTTCGAAGGCCCGCTTTGCTGTTTCGAGCCATGATTGCAAGGTACTTCTGCGATGCCAAAAATTTTGCCATGCCTCAAATCTGTCTAAGCAATGTTGTTCACCAAACCGTCTGGTCTGGACGGCGACGATGATGAAGTCACAAATGGTTGCGCGCAAAGCACGCCAACTTAAACTGCCGGGTCGTGCTTCACTGAATGGTTTTTTGCGATTTTGTTGAGTGTGCAAAAAACCATCGCAGTAAAACTTGGGTTCGGTTTGGCTTCTGTCATACGCAAGGAGCGGCCCTTTTGCTTGAGATGTTCTGCAGCTGGTGTACATCAACTGTCATGTCTGTACATGTTACATGTGCGGGCACGGTTTCACAACATAATATTGGGTCACCTATTTTTCCGACCCCCCCGACCCTATTTTTCCAACCTCCACCTATTTTTTCAACCCCCCGCCCTCTTTTTTCAACCCCCTAACCTATTTTTTCAACCCCCTAACCTATTTTTTCAACACCTCAACCTATTTATTCAACCCCTCAACCTCTTTTTTCAACCTCTGAACATTTTTTTGCCTACGCAAGCGGAGCCAATGCCCGCAAAACGTTCCTGAACCTCTTTTTTCAACATCTGAACATTTTTTCGCCTACATGTCCATAGCCCAACCAA